CTGTAGAGTCAGGTCTGTTGGATGCTGCTGCTGCCTTAATGGCAATTAACATGGCTGTGAATGCAGAAGGCTGGACTTCATTTTTAATGGCATTCCATTTGGTCCAGCTCAGGAAGGTTTTGCATTTTGCTTAGTATTCAAATTTAAGCTTCCAATTTCTGGTAGCTAAAATAAAATCTCTGCATTTAATAACCTCAGTGAGTATAATATAGTCACACCCATATAACCTTGCTTTCCATCAGGAAAAAATGATCAAATAACTGGTATGAGTGAATTCATTACTGAATCTACGGTGTAGATGACAGTAAGGCAGAGGTCTCTTGAGTGGTTCTGTTACTCATTTTACTAGTTACCAGTTTATTAGATGGGAATTTTCCTGAATGAATATCTCATAGGTGATGACTGTGGAAGGTGTTAACCTTAGATGCAGAGCAGATTTGGGAGCGAGAAGCACATCTAAATAAGGAGAACAAACAGGGAGGGATAAAGGGCATATGGAAGTACTGGAAATGGATTTACTATTTTAGCATTGTACCAAGTGTTGTCCCTTACACTTAAATAGAATTTCATTTATAGTATCAGCTGAATGGCAGTGATTTCACTAGTTTGGCAGCAGATTCTACCTGTGGAGCCTTTCCAACCTCTCTGCTCTGCTCTTTTTTAAAATTTAGCGTAGGTATAGGCTGCTTTAGTTTATTTTTCTAGCTAACAGAAATGCGTTCAGAAGTGGAAAAAATGGAGGATTCCTATTATTTACTGTTAATAGAAGTTTTACACAGAAATGTTCATCTTTCGTGGTATTCATAAAATGCGTGGAGCAGATTTTGTCTGCAAGTGCTCATGGGTCTCAAGGACACAAATTCACACACTCTTTGTATATCGGTACATTTTACAGTTTAAACATGAATATTGGACTATTCTGATCAAGTGTAGAACTCTAGGTAGTTACTAGTTTATTTAAGCCACATTGAGTTAATGCCTTCACTGTTTTTTTCTTTGATTGTTTCCCATATTCCCATAGACACTTTTGTAATATGGCAATATATTCTTGCTGTGCAACTTAACAAAGTAACACAGTGGTGAAAATGAAGACAATGTAATAAAATTATCACTGATTTGCTGTGTGATCTTAAGCAAGTCATTCAGCTGTCTCATGTGTCAGCTTCAAACTGATATTGCTGCAAAACAGCTCTTACATTTGCATTTTTTTTCCCCCCAAAAATAATTTTTTACTTCCACTTCTCCTCTCCTGAAACCCTGAAGTTCTGTGGGACTCCAGATAGGTTTTGCACAGTCTGCTGATGTTAGCTCATTTTTACTTTAAAGGCTCCATAGCCTCACCTGGGTGCAGTTGAGGCTTTGGATTGCCAAATTTCCATTGACAGACTTTGTCACCTACCTTTGGACGCAGGTTGCAACAGTCAATAAAAAAGCAGTGAGAAAAATACCTGGCACAGGACAGGGGGGTCACTGGTTATATATAGGAAGAGTTGTTCCAAAAATAGAGTAGGATTTGGAGGTGAATAACCTCAGACTATTTCAGGGCTATTGAAAGAGCTTTGGATTGCCAAATTTCCATTGACAGACTTTGTCACCTACCTTTGGACGCAGGTTGCAACAGTCAATAAAAAAGCAGTGAGAAAAATACCTGGCACAGGACAGGGGGGTCACTGGTTATATATAGGAAGAGTTGTTCCAAAAATAGAGTAGGATTTGGAGGTGAATAACCTCAGACTATTTCAGGGCTATTGGAAGAGGTCTCTTTTTTTTTTTTTTTTAATCTTCCAGAGATGGAAGAATATTGCTGAATAAGGAATGTCTGATCCCATTTACTTTCTAGCTGCCAAATCACGAGTACTTGGAATCAGTGTCAGTGTCCTTCAGTACATACAGTTTATTGCACAGGCCCATTAATTCATTTGTTTTTCCATTGTGGAATTTTGTACGATGGTTTTAATATGGCAACAGAGCTGGATCTTCAGAGATTCATTGTTCTGTAACATTTCTGAAAATTAAGTGCCCATTATATGTAACTATTAACTTAAAAGCTATTTTGTCCTACATGTGCGCACTGAAAAATAGTCTCTGAATAATGAATATCGTTCCAGTATTTGATTAATTTCTGAAAGTAATTTTACAGAATTTTGATTTATCTTGTCTAAAGTACATCTTGTATGTTTTCTGACTCCTTTCTGCTTAACATGTGCAGTAGGGCATTTTGAAATGGAGGTGAGTGAAACTGATATAACCCATAAAAATAGATGAATGGTGTTAAGCCGTTCGATTCAGGCATGTAATCACAAGCTGCGGTATTCCTTCAGCCTTCGCATCGTTCTTTCACGTAAACATGCTACCGCGTGGCTGGATTCAGTAAACACTTCCCCAGTGCATTTCACTAACCGTGAAGCCAGTCAAGCAGATCTGTTTTTCCTGGGTCTGTGCAGCTTCAGGAGCCTGTTGGAGTTTTTACTTACCATAACTTCTGCACTACTGGAGGGAGATACTGCTCTCACCTGTAGCTACTGGAAACAATGCTGCCTCCAGCTGCAGGTGTCGAGGAACCAGCAGATCACTTCTAGCTCCGTCATTCTCATTCTATGCTCCCCTAAGCAATTGCTGCAGGTGCAGTGCTGACAGTACAGTTCTTGAGACAATGTGTGCACTGTCTTATGTCTCCAATTATTTAGGAAAAAAAATTGCTAAGGCCTTTAATAGCAAGATGGAAATTTTGAGACTGTTTATTCCATGCCATAGGACCTGTGTTGTCATTTAGCTTTCCCTATGCCGAAAACAAAGCCAAAGGCTCCTCTACACGTTCCCCCTCTGCTTTACTGTGTTTGAGATGGAAGGGTAATTGTGCTTGGCAAGGGTGACTGGATTACAGCTGCCTTTGTCTTCCAGGTTTTTTTAGTGCCATCGTGGTGGCTAAATGTGTGCAGAACACTGTGACACAATGGGGAAAGTGGGATTTGCTTTCTTTGAAATTAGGAAAAAATTGTGATTCTTTCCCTTTTTTGGACAATTGCCAGAAAACCAAATCAATTCTATTTTATTTTTAAGACTTGGAAGGTTTTGACTCTGTAATACCAATTGCTGAGAAGCTTAATCATCCAACTACAACCAGACCAAAAGCTACTGGCAGGCGACCACCCTCCCAGTCTCTCACGTCTGTAAGTTAATTTTCCTGTTCTTTTAAAGTTTTTTGTCTGATTCCCCCCCGCCCCCTGCTCCTATTTGTGTTCCCTGGTGTTTTCACTACGTTTACACAGCCGTTCCTTCACACGTACAGTGAGGCAGAGATGCAGCTCAGGAAAATTAGTGTCAAAAGGCTGCCAACATTTCAAATACTGATGTTTAAAACATTCCCTTGTAAGATTTGTACCCGCTTATTTGGATGCTGCCAAGTATTCCTTGCCAGCCATGACTGAGGCCAGAAAAATCCTTTATAAAAATCTCTGCAATAAACTAGTTTGTGCTAAATATTAAGGATTTTGAAAGTGTTTCCCAAAAGAAGCATTTCCCTTTGTTTAATAGGACATTTACCAGATTTTGAGGACAAACAAACTGTTTCAGCCTTCAACAGCTCTCCTTGAGCCATCTTATGTTTCTTCTCATTAAGCTCACAATTGTGAATAAAAGTGTGATTTAAATTTCACTCTCTAATATGTACCTTTATACAAGTTGGTTCATAAAACGTGCTTTGGAAACCACTGCTTAGTTTTCCAGTGTCTTTTTTTGGGGGGGTTGGAGTTTGTTCGGTTCCATGCTTCTTTGCATTCTGGAGTATGAGAGAGAATGAGAGCAGCTACTGATGATTACCCGTGTTCACATTGCTGAAGAAAAACAAAGTGGAGGAAAACAAAAAGTATTACTGTGAAACTAACAGAACACACAAAAAAAGAAAGCTTTCAAAATGGATCATGTACATAAATATAGAAACATAAAAGACAAGTGGAAAGGTTTTTCTTCCCCTGTCAAATCTGTGGGGGAAGGAGCAAGGAGTGGAAAGAAGCTTCCCTGTTTGCTCCTTCACAAAGAGGCCGTGCACAAGGCAGCCCCGCAGTGCCAGCAGCGCGCGCGGGCAGCAGCAAAGCGAGACCTGCGCTGAGCAAAGCCATGGCTGAGCTGCCCAGGTGGCAGAGCTGGCATCCCCACAGCACGGTGCTCGGCATCGTAGCCAAGTAAGGTGCAGCTCCTCTTGCAGACAGGAGGGTGCTTTTGTCTTACGGTATAATGCAATGCAAAGATGTAAATTAATGTTGAATTCAGCTCTTAGGTATATCTTATTTCATGAATGCTTTGAACATAAGGTGTAAAAAAAAAAGGGGTGGGAAGGGGGTGGGAAGGAGACTCCTGATTTTAAGTATTGTTACTTTGAAATTTATAACAAAAAAAGTCATGACATAAATGCTTTTCTTCTTCCATTGTTAAATTGTCGTACAATGAAAATACCTGCTTTTTTTTCCTCTCTTATGGTGCGTGTGTTTGTCCACATAGTCATCCCTTTCAAGCCCTGATTTCTTTGACTCGCCAAGTCCTGAAGACGAGAAGGAGGAACATGTTTCTGTTACTCATAAAACTATTGAAGCGTCAAGGAAATCAAGAACTGTTACAATATCACAAGTAAGTTAGTTGGAATGCCTCTGCTTAACCTTATCACGTGCATCTTCGTTTTTTAAAACAGTATTCAAATATTTATTTTTAAAATTTAATTCAGCAGTCAGCTGGTAACTAGCCCTTTAAAGAAGCTTAAGATGGTAGAGGTTACTAAAGATTGTTCTGTGTTTGAAATGCAAGTCAAAAGTGAATTGCAGTTAAAATGTCTCCACAACCATACTGTGAAAAAAATCCTCTTAGTGTAAATTTCACAGAATCAGAGGAGCTAGGGAAGTAAATTGTAGAAACAAAGGCCCCTTTTTTGCAGCCGTAAATAGAGTTTACATTAGAAGAGTCTGTAAGCAGAGAAGATACAACTCTTTGACACATTCTAATAGTATGCAAATTTAAATTTGCAAGTATAATCAGTTTTTATACTGGTATAATTGTATTTATTTTGTAGGCTTTTGCCACGTACTGCATATTGGTAGACAGCTATAGGATAATTGAATATTACAGAAGGAGTGTGTGGATCAGGCTTCAGAGGTTGGAGGTATTTTTTAGTGCATAAAGATACCTTTAATAATACAAACATTACATTCTAATAGTGTAACAAAGACAAGTCATGCACTTCTGTGATTGAGTTGTAAGGATAATGTTTTGCTATATAGCTCCCTCTTCTGGGAGCACTTGCATTAAGGAATGCTCTTGGGCCAACATTTGTAAATTATACGCTGGTATGCCAAGATGACGTTCCTGTAAAACAGGATGACTGCTACCAGAAAGTAGCTGCTTGAGGCTTTAATGTTGATAGCCAGTTAAGCTCTGGAATAAGATGTTTGGTGTGGATGACTCCAGTTGCGCCTTGCTCACTTGCTCCAAGTTTGACCTCAGCCTGACCTCTCTTTTCAGTCGAAAGGAAACTTGCATCTACTGATACAAGGATTGTTATTCATGAAAGATCCATGTACAGCTGCACGTTACTCGCATACGCGCACATATATATAAAAAAAGTTTAAAAGAATATTATTAGTGTTAAAAGAATATTATTAATTATATGATCTTAATGGCATCACGGAGATGTGGTGGGATGGCTCCTATGACTGGAGTGCTGGAATGGAAGGATACAGGCTTTTTAGGATGGACAGGCAGGGGAGGCAAGGAGGGGGTGTCGCCATCTGTGTCAATGACTAGCGGGAATGCATAGAGCTCTGCCTGGGGTTGGGAGAGGAGCTTATGGGTCAGGATTAAAGGAGGGCAGGGACAGGTGACATTATAGTGAGGGTCTGCTACAGGCCACCCAACCAGGAGGACCAAGCAGATGAGGCCCTCTATAGACAGATAGGAGCAGCCTCATGTTCACAAGCCCTGGCCCTCATGGGGGACTTGAACCACCCCAATATCTGTTGGAGGGACAACACAGCAGGGCATGAGCAATCCAGGAGGTTCCTGGAATGCATTGATGATAACTTCCTTCTCCAAGTGATAGAGGAGAGGAGCTGTGCTGAACCTTGTTCTCACCAGCAAGGAGGGGCTGGTGGGGAATGTGAAGCTCAAGGGGAGCCTTGGCTGCAGTGACAGTGAAATGGCGAAGTTCAAGATCCTTAGGGCAGCAAGGAGGGCACACAGCAAGCTCATTACCCTGGGCTTCAGGAGAACAGACTTTGGCCTCTTCAGGGAACTGCTTGGTAGAGTACCATGGGATAAAGCCCTGGAGGGAAGAGGGGCCCAAGATAGTTGAGGATCACTTTCTTCAAGCTCAGGAGTGATGCATCCCAACAAAGAGGAAGCGAGGCAAAAACACCAGGAGGTCTGCATGGATGAACAAGCTGCTCCTAGTCAAATTCAAACATGAAAAGGAGGCCTACAGAGAGGATGGAAGCAAGGACAGATAGCCTGGGAGGAATACAGAGAAATTGTCCAAGTAGCCAGGGATCATGTTATGAAAGCCAAGGCCCTGATAGAACTAAGTCTGGACAGGGACATCAAAGGCAACCAGAAAAACTTCTGTAGGTATGTTGGTGATAAAACAAAGACTAGGGAAAATGTAGTCCCTCTCCAGAAGGAAACAGGAGACCTGATTACCCGGGATATGGAGAAGGCTGAGGTACTGCATGACTTTTTTGCCTCAGTCTTCACCAGCAAGTGCTCCAGCCACACCACTCAAGTCACAGAAGGCAAAGGCAGGGACTGGCAGAATGGAGAACCACCCACTGCAGGAGAGGAGGTTTGAGACCATCTAAGGAACCTGAAGGTGCACAAGTCCATGGGACCTGATGAGATGCATCCATGAATCCCGAGGGAACTGACAGATGAAGCTGTTAAGCCACTATCCGTCATATTTGAGAAGCTGTGGCAGTCCAATGAAGTTCCCGCTGACTGGAAAAGGGGAAACACAACCGCTGTATTTAAAAAGGGGAAAAGAGAAGACCTGGGAACTACAGGCCAGGCAGTCTCACCTCTGTGCTTGGCAAGATCATGGACCGGATCCTCCTAGAAACTGGCGATTGGTGACAGCCAGTGTGGCTTCACTAAGGGCAAATTGTGCCTGAGAAGTGTGGTGGCCTTCTATGATGGGGTTACAGTGTTGATGGTCAAGGGAAGAGCAACTGATGTCATCTACCTGGACTTGTGCAAAGAATTTGGCACTGTCCAACATGACATCCTTGTCTCT